ATCTTGTTTCAATGTTTCATTTGAGACGAATGAAATTTATTTACATAAATATAACTTCCTTGAAAAACTATAATAACACAGGCTGCAAAGCTTTTCCTAGAGACGGAAATTGTTTGGATTGAAAGTGAAGGATAATTGCAGAGTTCCTTAGGGTAGAAGAATTTCCATAAAAACTCCCTGTTATCGCTTCGTAGAAAAAACAATCAATATGTTGTATAAAATTATTTGGAACTACAATTTTCCTTGTTCCGGCAACATCTTAATTTTGATAGGCCCGTAGCACACTATAGCGAAAGCGTATCAATACCGAAGCGAAAAAAACAAATGTGCACGATCAGCCTAAGTTGCTTCGCTTCACTTGGTTGCATATCACTTTCCTGGTAGTATTCTTTTATTTATTCAAAGTCACTCAGCACATGTGCTGATCTTCCGTCTTCTTCACGATTTTTTCATCAAAATACTTTTAAATTTATATGACAGTTTTTCGGATAAAAAAAAAGTTAGATGATTTTTACACTTTGAGTAGAGCTTCAAAGCTGCGGTATTTTTTTCATTTTAAAATAAAACTTCGACATCGCAATTTGATTCAGCTAGCTCGTGAGTGTCGCCGATCGATCACTCCAGGGACGATATCATGCGCTCGGTTACTTTAATGCAAAAATGTCGATCGTTTATTCAATAGTTAGTCAACATCGGACATTATGAATAAGATAATTTATCATATCATTTTCATAAACATATTGTATGCGTAGAGTTACAATTTTGAATAGTAAACATGCACAGGTTCATATGTGTCAACTCTATGTACAAAAGCGTGTCGAAATATTAAGAATTCTATCATCTGATATCAACAGAACCAATCGATCATTGCACTAATATCACTGAAAAGGTTTTATTAAACCTTTTCGATCAACTTTTAAAATTAATTATAAGATAACATCAATCGACAGTTTATGTAATTATTAAATTTATTATTAATGAATCGAATTATGGTTAAAAATCGACAAGAAATAAACAATATTAACCACAGATTAATTAGCTAGCTGTTAATGTTGAAATTAAGGCAAATATTTAATTTTAATCAAGAAAAGCACCGACCTCAACCTAATTTACTTACTTCCTCTTTGAAAGAACCTATTAAAGATAATATTTTCTTCGACGAAGTTAATTGTGAAAAGCCATTTTCTTTTATGAAAACAAATTGTGATTCCATTGAAGATTCTTTTTTCCATAAAAAAAACAATTAAACGCAATAAACGATTAAGAACTTATTTATTTATCGTTCACATCGACCTTGGATCAATGCTTGACATTGCCAGCTTATAGTAACAGTAACATATACCGCTGTCGCAGGAACCCAAAGCTATAGTTTATTCTAGAAGTAAGGTTGGTTTAGATAAGTTCAAACGATTCTTATTTCTATCCAGCTAAGTTTAAAAGGCATTGATATGACCTAACATGATATTAAATGACCGAGAAAGTGTGTAAAGTAAATTGTGTTTAGAAAAGAGTGAAGGATATCGTCTTGGGAGTTGTAAGTATAAAGCTGTTGTTACTAAGACCATATATGCTCCTTGCGTCTGAATATGATTAAAACTTGTATGAAAGTTTGATAGTCTTGTGGTTTAACCTGCGTCATTCAAGCGTGGAAAACTGGTACACTAACTAATTTATTATTGTCACATTGGCATAAGGGAATTCGTTTATAATTAAAAACCTAACTCAATAGATTAAAGGATAGTGAATGTTAAAATCTTGCGTTTGAAAACACTATTGAGTTTTAAATGACATAAAATTTTATTAATAAACTAGCTTTCGCCCGCGACTCCGTCCGCGTGATAAAAAAAAAACAAATCGAGTAACCTATGGGTTTTTTCAGACTATCCTCTACGTCTATGCCAAATTTCATCGACATCCGTCCATCTGTTTAGTCTACAAATTCTAACAAATGTCCATCCATCTAAATTTTCGCAATTATAATATTAGTGAGAATAGAATTTCAAAAGTACGTATAACTAAAGACGTAATAATATACTCCATTAAATAGAAAAGGTTACTTTTTTAGAAATATTTTTGATGTAACAACTTAAAAAAGTAAAACAAAAATAGAATAATTACGCGTTTATAATTAAAAGCGGAAATTTCTAATTTGCATCCACTCTATAAATTAATGTTTGGTTATTACTCGATTTACTTTATTGTTATTTTTAGAATGCTTTCATTTATTTAGGGTTGCTCAATTACTAAATTTATTTTCTATAAATGGTAAAAAAATAAATTAATGTTTTATTTAATTTCTTAAATTATAATTGAAAATGAATAGGTACATTTATGATATAAAAATAGTGATTTTTGTGTAAAAATTTACTTTTAGTCTGTCTTTGCTTTAGAAAATATGTTCTACGTTACATTGGCTTTGCTACTTAAAAACAGGAATCCTAGTTAAGTAGTCAAGGCAACACTGATTTATGTAATTAACATTAGAGAGCAATAAAGATATTCTTATATTTTAGTATTTTATACAATTTGTAAGAATGTTAAAAGTGACGCTTACATATATATGTATAGTTATACAGATAAGTTACATGAAATATACATAATATAATGTATTTTACGTTTACAATAGAAATTGTTGCAGATACGAGGGTGAGATGTTATCGATGTGTTTCCAATGGATATTCAGTGGATAACGAAACCCGGATATTTGAGTGCTGAACAAATATTGGTTTACGTTATACGTTTGAGTATAAGTTGGATATAATAAAAGTTGTTTAAAATATATTCCAGATTTATTTAGCTATCTTAATTTGTAAATATGTGAGATTTTTCGAAAATTAAAAGGTCAATAAATAGTTTTACCAAGTATAAGTAAGTAAAATCTAACCATTATTCAAGTTAACGGTTGAACAAAGATGTTTCAGCATTAATGTTATGATTTTCGATAGGTTTTTTCTCCTTTGATCCATACATGATGTTAAAATTTTCTTTTATAATATAAGGAAAAAGTTCTTAGATCCTGTTACTTCCGTGAAATTAACTGTCTCATAAAGCGCTTTTCTTTGCTCTTCATATTCGTATTTCTAAATTAACTTGGCGGGTTTCTATTTAATGTGATTTCTGATTTTGACTAAATCAATTTATTTTACCGTAAAGATAAAAATATTTATTTCCTTATAATCATTAAAATATTAATAAGAAAGATATACTAATCACATAAAATTTTCTGTCAAATGTTTTTATTTTTGTGCCTATAAAAATACGAATACAATTTACAAACAAAACCAGAAGATGTAATATCCTCAATATTTTTTTCTAATTTTTCAGATATACTTCTATTGATTTATATTTTCTATTATTTTTATTAGCAAAAATTAAATTAAAAAAACCTTTAACTAATCCTATTGGTTTGACGATGCGAGTATCCGCCAGCAAACTTATTCGTTTTCTAAAAAATACGACCATGGATTCAATAGCGGCAATTTTATATGGCAATTGTAAAGGCCACAGGCTACAGTAAATCCTCACTCAGCAGAATTAGGCCGGAGAATAACAAGAGGTTTACTCCGCCCATTCCTTGCGCCGTTTTGCCTTAGTGTTATTGTTGCAAAGGATGATTGGCGACGGTGATATTTTCAAAATAACTGCGCCAACTTTTCGTCCTTCGGGTTTCTCTTTCTTTGTTTTTATGACTAAAAAGAATTTATGGTAGACAAGGATATTTATCTTTTCGTTTGGTTAGCTTACTTTAGTAGGTTACTAAATTTAGGTCTGTAAAATTGGTTTTAATCAGTATTATCTATTTAACCAAAAATCTTTATACTGGGATACTGAGACCCGTGTAAAAAATCTTTCATGCATGCTTTCGACGTATAGTTTTCATATTAATATAAAAATACATTATTGTCTTTTAAATAGAGTGTATATTAAAGATATCTTAGACTTTATGTGTATCAGGAATGTTATCAGCCAACACGTTTACTCCGCGCAATTAAACTCGTAAGTTAAATATTGCTAATGATAAATTTCAGGCGTTCGTTTGCAGAAATTAAAGTTATTTTACTTCTAGTATGAAAAAATTCTATACAAAACTCTGGGTTTAGCTATTTAAATAATTATCTCATTTCACTTAATCATTTTTCAAATACGTCAAAAAAATCAATCATCCTTTATGCTGAAGTAGACGCACAAGTCGTTATGTTCGTTTCAGATAAGAAAGAATTATTTGTTTTTACGGGATAACAAATGAAAGAAAAGTCATATGCAAATTCTTTATTGTTTATATTATTTTCATGAATTCGAATATCTTCTTCTTTAAAAACAAAATAATGGACGTTATTTAGAGTAACTGAATTTACATTGTTATTTACAAACGGCATGACATTGTACAAAAAAGACGATTACAATTAAAAATACTCTTAATTTGGTTTAAAGTTGTAAACATTTTTAAATAACCATTGTAATTTAATAAGTTATTGTAATTCCATTAATTTTACACAATACCTATTTAGATAAACATAAAAAAAAAAAAACAAATTATTCGATTTTAATCGTAGACTCTAATTTTATTTAATTTCTAATACCTAAATATAACAAGACAAAACATAAATATATTTAATCTAGATACATCGTACTAATTATCGAGATACATTTAATCTTATATATTAAAACAATTAATTTAAATCCGACAATATTTCAATCACAAATAACAAACCTTTATAAGCTAATATTTACAATGTGCACAGCACATACGCATCAACAATTTCCAGTCTTTTCCAAAAGACAAAAGCATTTACTTAACAGTATGGAGAAATATTACCCTACTATTCAAGTTAAACAATAGAGTTTTCATTGTTGACAAACTTGTATTAAAACATAATTCTATATCATCTCGTTATCTTTCAAAAAATAGAGAATTTTTTTTTAATAAATGTAGCTAAACTTTTCACAGTATGTTATTTCTTTTTTATTTTTAATTTTGATTCATATGAGAATGGTGCAATTTAATATATTCAGTTAATAATCATATTATATTCATTCTTAAAAATAATATGAGCACTTCGGAAATCTAATTATTATGCTTAAAGTCGAAAATGTTATTCGACATAACGTACATAATAAATCTGTATTATTTAACACTTGAGATTTTATCAATATTATAATCTAGTTAAAATACATTTCATTTAAACTTAACAAATTTAAATTAACTTCGTTATACGGGATACTTATTGTAAAAATACATTATGTATTATGTACATATTTACAATACATAAAGACTTTCACATAATCATGAAGAAAGTCTAATGCAAAATAAAGTCAAAGTTAAAAATATAAGATAAATGTTTGCAGCAGCATGTTCCAATAAAACACCAAAATAAGTTAAGTCATTATGTTATACCCAAAAGCTCAATTACAAAGCTTAGATAACAACAAAAAGTCCAGGTAATTTTCTAAAGATAGTTATCGTATCCATCTCAGTCGACAAACTTCACATGAAAAATTATTTTGAAGTCTGTATAAATATAACAATTAACAACTCATTTTAGGTCTTCGAGAAATCATCTACTTTTTTATTCACTAAACGTTTAACGTCAACATTTGTAAAGTATCTTACACCATCTAGCAACTACTAATTGTTCTCACCACGAACTCGTTCGAACTACCTTCGATCGAGTGAGTCTCGTACCATTGTTTACACAGTCGTTACTCAGGTAAGTCCACCTATGTGACAATTCACTTGGTACATATAGGTTGCCAGTTCCTCCCCGGTTAATTCGTCGTCGACTTCGCGTAAGCTGGAATTGGATATGCTACGCGGCGATCCGATTGAGTCGGAGGGCTCGTCGAGGCCGAGGCGGAGTCGCCAGTGCCTGCAATGTCCGTTACCGCTCGGGCTCTCGTTTACCACAGCTAGCTCCCGGCCGGGCCCCGTGTAACACTGTAAATAACAACGGACATTCCAAAGATTTTGTTCGTAGATCTTTTTTCGCAGAAATTTTTTAATGAAATATCGTTTACATTGTTACGTCAAATAAAAATGAAGTAAAGTCAAAATTAAAGAAATAAACATGATTTTATCTTAACTTTCTTCAAATCAAATACACAAAACTATATTCTCTGTAGATGTAGATTATACAATATGGATTTCATTAAATACTTCGAGTAGATAATTAAAGTCTCCAGTTAATTATTTTCGAAGGAAATTACTTACTCATTCGTGAATATTTGATTCGAAATGTTCATGCCAGATCGTGTTAAGAGAACAATCCTTGGCACTCGCATAGATTAAAGTAAAAAGAAATGTGATCCGTAAAATTAAACTAAAACATTAATGCGCCGAGAAGATTATTATCAAATAATGTTTTTCACATTTGAAGATTGAAGAAAGAAGTATAGCCACCACCAGAGTGTAACAAAAACAATTGTTCGGACCTGACCTCACCTGCACTCTCTGCGGCGCGTCACAGATCTGTGTGATGGCGGTGGAGTGCCGACGCAGGTGTCGTCTGCTACTGGCACGGTCCGCCGCGCCGGCGAGCGCGCGCTGACGCTGCGAGGCAAGTAGGGCGCTGTACATGCGACCCATCGGCCTGTTCCTACGCCCGCACCATGATGCTAACGTCATCTGTACAAAAATGCACATAATGTATATATAAACAATGCTGTATTCTAAAGAGTGTTTGTTCTTATCAAAATCTAAAGGTAATTTAATTCCTTATATCATGTTTACAAAATAATATTAGTATGATATAAATAATCTATTGGAAGTATTTTTAAAATTAATTTTTAAATCTTCGTTCTTCAACAAGACGGTTAGGTGTCAAGACATTCGTCGCGAACAAAATTAGAACAGTCAATTCATACGAATCGCAAATATTTATTTCAACACTCATCGAGTTATTTTTGGCTACAGTTTATACTTAAAACCAGATATTCCATGTAAACTTATATCGAATTAAATACTGATAAAAACAATCATTTGAATTTATAAAAGCATAATAGAATAAACTAATTTAAATCTTTATCGCCTTGTGCATTAACACTTAAATATGTTAACATATATAAGCAACATTCTGTATATAAATTTAGAATTTCACCTTGAAACGTTTTTCATAATTGTGTAAGTGCCTTTTCTGAACACGTAAATCTACATTACGTTGCTAATTATTTAAAAATCATATAAATGTTTCTTGGATGTACTCTTGAGAAACTGTACTGAAACTAAACATTAGTATACTGTTTTAACATGAACAATGTTTATAAAATGTAACTATTTTTATTTTGAAAAAAAAAAACAATATAGTATTACACATTTACATTACATTTAGTATTATAAAGAGGAAAGATTTGTAGTTTGGAATCTACTGAAATAACTCCGAAATTACTAGGCCAATTTCAAAATTTCTCACCAATGTTTCAATCATTCATAAGCTACGTTATCGCAGACTAACATAGGATATATGTACTTTTTACATAACCAATTTTTTTAATTTCACGTGGACGGAATAAATGCAACGGCTAGTGTTAAAACAAAACAAAAAACATCAAAGTCTACAGTTACAAAACATCAATTTGTTTTTGTGTCTTGATTTAATAAACCGATAGCATTTAAAATATATTTAAAAATAATTAAACCTGACCAGTTATACAGAAACTTGCTTTAATATCAGATCAAATAAGAGGATGTCAATTTTATTAATTGTGCATATCATTTCATTTGGGAAAGATTACATCATTTTTATTGCGATTTTATATGTTTTTCGTTTTAATATTGTACTCTCTATGTATTTATAGTTATTTAATTCTGTTTTATATTTAGTTACGAAACATTTTAGACGAGAGTACTCTATACTAAATGAAGTCATGTCAATTGATGGCTTCTGTTACTTTAACCGGAAATAATATTCAAGTACTTATAACGCTTGAGTATATAAGAGGGAGTTTGAGAAAAGCCAAAGTAGTTGAGAAATTTAGGAGTTAAATTAAATTTAGGAGTTTAAATTTAGGGTTAGCATGGTATGGGCATGTTATGAGGAGGAATGAATCGCGAAAAGAAGGACATTAGGTATGAATGTGAAGGGCTACACCGGCAGAGGTAGACCTAAAAATAGATGGATGGATTGCTTGAAAGTTGACATGATCAAGAAGGGAGTGGTGACTAAGATGACGGATGATAGAGTTATTTGGAGTACGATAACCCGGTGCGCTGCTCTACGGGTATGATATGGTAGGGGAGATGAATTACTTACAACTCCTTACATATCTACGAAAAACAATTATCTCTTAGTAATCTGATAAAAACAAAGTGTAATCCGGAATAACCATTTAATTTAACATTATGTAATAGTATATAAGCATCGAGGTCGTCCGGTGTTCGGGGGCCGACTTATTTATGCACGAGGCGTCTCCATGGTGCTGGTACATTGAAGCTATTAACCAGCAAAGTTGAGACTCCAAATTACCTTTTTTATAATTTTATTGGCTTTTCAAAACAAGTTCCAAATGGAAACGTTTGCTATTTGTGGCCAATGCTATTAAATGATTAAAATCAGAATTTCAACGTGATTCTAAATTGATAAATGTTATTTTTGGCTTATAATTAACGTTTTTATCATTTATTTTATTTACCAATATCACACATATACCTTTATATCTTATTTTATATGTATTGTATTTTACATGATTTGTATAAAAATAAAAACATATTTTATAAAAATAGAACACCCCTTGGCTGCAGAATCCGATGACTTAAGCAACCGGTAGTCAGGGCTGTGGAGACAGAAACCTCCTCACAATGCATGCAGTTTCTTTGAATCCTTTTGAATCGGGCCCTTAAACCAACTGTCTAGCGAGAACTTCATTAGAGATCTTAATTTAAATTCTTTTTTTGAGATTCCCAAAGTAACTACGATAAGTTTATTAACTGGTTACCAGAATCATACAGATGAAAAAACTACTAAAACCGTCATGGTCAAACTAATGACATAATGACATAACGAGATTGAGCTGCTTTTTGTTTAAAAACAAAACCACCGAAATACTATTTCCTTTGTACAGTCTTTAAACTTTAATATTGTGGCTAAACAATACCTCTGTGTACGACTCGAATTTCATTCGCAATTCCTTTAGAATATAGGTTTAGATATACAAGACCGACGGTGGCTCAGGGTTTGAACCCTGCCATGTACCAATATGTTTTTCGAATTTAATCTTACTTCTTACTTATACTTATAATATTATAAATATGAAAGTTTAGATGGATGGATGGATGTTCGTTAGAGTTTGTAGCCTAAACGGCTGAACGGATTTCTATGAAATTTGGCATAGATATAGAAGATAGTCTGGAAGAACTCATAGGCTATTCAATTTTGTTGTTTTTTTTAAATTCCACGCGGACGGAGTCGCGAGCGAAAGCTAGTAAGTAACTAATTTACCCGACATTCTTACGGTGAAGGCAAACATGGTGGTGAAACCTGCACATATCAGAGACAAAATTCAAAGATATGTATGGTGAGGCCCAGTCGCCCCTAACTTAAGTAAAGCTCCTTATCGGTCCCTAGTGTAGTTGAAATATCTACACTAAGGTGACTCCTCAGTAATAAATGACGGTTCGTAACGCGGTTGTAACATTTCATAGAAATGTGAAAACTATCGATTTCTTACAAAATATATTCAAATACTAATGAGACGTAAATTTTAATTAAAATGATTGTTTTAATTAGTTTCATTCAGAAGTTCTGTGAAAACGCTTGAACAACTTAGAATTTAATTTCACATCTGTTTCGTAATTTTGTCTTAAAAATGTTTCAATTAAATTGAACAAGTTCATGATATAGAAAACGTTAAAGTGCTTGTTACAATCTTACTAATATTATAAATGCGAAAGATTAGATGAATGGATCGATGTTTGTTAGAGTTTGTAGCCTAAACGGCTGAAACGATCTCGATGAAATTTGTCATAGATGCAGAGGATAGTCTGGAAGGACACATATGGTATTTACTTTTGTATTTTTTAATACCACACGGATGGAGTCGCGGGCGAAAGCTAGTATAAAATGAATTTATTCCTTCTTGATTAAAAAAGAAACATATTTTTAATAATGCACGCCAATAAAAAACGGCAAGCGTTTCGGGTCGTAGGTTTCAATATTTTTTATACTCGATATGTAGTTTGCCAAAACGTAACGTATTTTGTTTCATAACAGAGAAATTTTGTATTTGCCATATGTTACTACAAATATTTCGGTAATCCCTCATTCTTTTTGAATAAAAACAATCATAAAATAAAGGTTCCAAACCATATTTCTCTGGTATACACGATTTTTTTAGCACAATGTGTACAAAACAGGTTTAATATAGTTAATAAATATTTTTGCTTACGATGAAATCATTTGCCAAACATTGGTCGGGACATTTAATGTTCAGTTACTGAACTGGTTTTCTTACACTTATTAAAATTCTTAATATTTTTTTGACCACCGATAAAAAAGCTTAATGTATTCAAGGCGATTATGTATTACTAAAATTTTGTTACCATGTACGTAAAAAAACAATTTATCTAATACGGTTAATTTTGTTAACATATCAATCGTATAGACTTATAAGTGAATATTAAAGCTTGTTGTTTATCTGGTTATACATGTTACTACAAGTTATGAGCATTATGATATCGGTATTTAGAAAATCTGGCGTGTAGTATTATTTCCGCGTATCGCCTTCATACAGAGCCGCTGTAAAATTAAGCACTCTTCCCATTCTTAACCTTTTCTTATAAAGTGGTTAGTAATGGTAAATATGCTCTTTTTGTGCGTCCGATCTTCCGTCAATTAGAGGTGGACAATGTTTCTGCAGAGATATATGTAGGCAACGGTCATTTCACTATTTTTGGCGAATTCAAGTGACTACATGTTCGTTTGCCATCTTTGACTACAAAAACTATGATATGCGTGGATTCCCACTATGGAAAAATAATGTCGTCGTCTCTTTCTCATTCAATTAAAAAACAGTGATATATATGTTATATAAATATGAAATAATGGTGAATTGCTGAATCTATTTTGTTTTTTGAATTTTGTTATAATATTACACAAATTAAGGGAAGTCATTGGCTCCTTTAATACAGGGGATTAACCTAGTAAAGGAGCCAAGGATATACATATAATTGAACAAAATACCGAATTTAAAATTAGAAGTAAAAAAAAAATGTGAGAAACGTATTTGTAAAATTATATTTGAATTGTGATATTGTATGTTTGTTTGTATAAATAAATAAAAATAAATAAATTATAATAATCAGAAAATTATAATAAATGTGTTTTGATAATAAAACGGTTACACAAGGCTTCGAATAAATAAATCTTACCTTAAATGCGTTCCTGAATTTGTTCGACATAATGTTGTAGAGAATGGGGTTAATCGCTGTTGATAAAAAGTACAGTACTCCCGAGAGATAGGTAAGGACAAGATACACCTGTGGAAAAAACAAGATTAGAAACATAAAAAAGCTGTTCAGAACTTGTTGTACAACATTTTGATTAGAGCTATGAATAATTACTATTGCTATCAAAATTATAACAAAAACTAAAGTTGAGTTACGTGCCCGGGTCAAAGGTGCCAAGTGAGTTTTTTAAGTGTCACTCATGACTCAGAAATAACAAGCACTATTTTAATAAAAGTTTTAGTTCTTAACTTATATTAAAAATTAAAAAAAAAGAATAACTCACTACAGTACTCAGTACTACAGTAAACATACAAAAGAAATATAAATGAAAATAATATTCAGCTGAAGCGTCTCCCTACACATAAAAAGAAAATCGATCCTGGAGTTAAAAAATTGCTTCATCTTTGTTTTATTAAAATAAAAAGGTATACGTCAAGTTATAATTAAATAAATCAGAAAATAAAATGTATAAATTAAAAATATTACCAAGAAAAATGTATCACTCGGGTGATCCATGCTTTTGCCGTATATCGCAAGCAGTCGTTGTACGTGGAACGGAGCCCAACATATGAAGAAAGATAAAGCCACGGCAACTGCGGACAAATAATATTAATAGTAAAGTCGGACATTTTGTTCCACCTTGTAGATTCCTTAGGGAGAAACATGTAGCCTTTGGATATTGTTACAAATGAAAAAACATTACGTCGGATAATATGAAGTAATAAGAACAATATAACGCAAAAATACCAATTATACTGTATTTCAAATGTTTTTTATGGTTTTAAGATTATGAATGTGTATAAGTCGTTTAAAATATAATAAAACGAATTTACTATGATTTAAAACAATGAATATACGATTAAGAATTTTATTATTTCTGATTGAAATTATATTTTATTAAACAATGCTCACACTGTTGACCTTTACTTGTTCAACATTACTTAAATCGAATGATTGAATTTAAAGCCACAGAGTGTATTACTATTAGGTCATTATTTACAGTAACTAAACTAAATCCATTTAATATTGAACGGACTAAGCAATTAATTTGAATTCTTCATTTACATTGTCGTCTCATTTAATTTTTAATTAATTGTCGTCTACTACAAAATAAACGTCGTGATCAATTTTTATTTCAACCGTTTTGTAAATTAAATTATCTAGTTTTTGATACAACTTATAATATGGTGAAAAGAATTAACATTTCTTGTAACATAAAAAAAAATAACTACTTAAAAACTCACCTAACATCCGTATAACTCTTCTTTGCGATGTGCCATGTCGATATCTAATGTTGGCACAAAACTTGTCACTGCCGTTAGCGCTCAACTTCTTTGTAGGATGCAGAACACGAGACGTTCTCAGCTTGACACCAATGAACACGTACAGCACTGTTATCACCGACATCGGCGCCACGAAGAAAACGAAACTAGATATAACGAACACTTCATGAACACCTTGCCCTTTCACAGTACAGGCACTCATATTCTGACCGTTTTCCACATATGTAACGATACCAAACTGCATGGCCTGCGGTACAGCGGTACATAATGCGCATATCCATATCGCAATGATAAATCGGACGGCTCTTGATAATTTGGACATCGTATGCGACATGAAAGGTCGGCAAATAGCAATGTATCTCTCGACTGTGAATGCTGTTATTGTCAATACAGTTGCATTCGCAGATGTTTCCGAAGCGAGGCCTAACGTTATACAGAATACCTCGCCTAGTGGATATATGAAGGGATTCCAGAGTCGGTACGATTCTATTGGTAGTCCACAAACTAGTAGGATCAAGTCGGATACAGCTAAGCTAAACAAATAGAAGTTCGTAGCGGTGTGCATCGATCGATTCCGTGCGATCACAAAACATGTGCTCAAGTTCCCGAGGATACCGGCCACGAAAATAATCGCGTATATTACTGTTAGCGGTACAATTAAGTTCAAAGAGTCTGGCTCGTGAAATGACGAAGTTGTCGATTCGTTTGTCCCGTTGAACATCACAACTTCACTGTCATCCTCCATTGTTAGCGGCTGATTTTGATATCAACTACCTGCAAACAAGGAAAAATTCACAAAGTTAATATTAGTTACTATTTATTATTGTGCTAATTGTTTAAAAGTGACACAGATAATAAATTAGCAGAACCGCATGATTTTATAATACTTTACATGCTTTACTATTAAATATGAGTGTAAAATAATAACAACCATTGAATCATCATATTGAAATAATCACATTTTGTGGTGGTTATTTAATGTAGGCGAAAAACTTTTAATTAAAAAAAATATGTACAAATGGTGATATGTCATACTTAAATGATTTTAACACTTTATAAATTTGGATCTGTCTTCAATTTAAATTCTAAGAAATATACTCAAGTAACCCGTAGAGTATAAAAACCAAAACACCTAACACTCGACAAAACAAATAAAAAAGGCAGTTGTACAATAAATAAAACAAAATAATTACAATCGCCCTTCCACAACAATATAATAAAATATAATGTTACATTACTTCCAAAGCTTCATAACATTTTATAAAACAAATAAAACAACTTGTAAAACATGGATGTCTGTTTTTCAACATTGTAAAGTAAGGTTAATCAATTTCGTCGAGTATCAAAACAAGATTCGGTAAGATGTTTACGTTTCGTCAAGAAACGACAAAGATAAATGTTCAGTTCACATCCGGCGTGCGTCAATCATTAAATTAAATATAACTTGTATGTTTTAATATACACCAAGTCAGTAATTACCTCAAACACTTCCATGTAAATATTTTTACAACCATAATAAGCAATGTAAGAAGTTTTATTTTCTACAGACATAACTGTAAAAAAACTATTGAAAAAGACTAACCAATATCAACCCTGACTTATATCGGCAAAGAAATTCAAAGATACGTATTAAGTTAGCCGACCAATTAGTTGACTAATGCCTACTCATCTCTCGCTTGGAGTAAGCTTCAAACCTGATATTACCGTGACCAGAAATATAAAAAAAACTAGCTGTTCCCATACGACTCTATCCGCATGAATTTGTGAAAATTTTATTTTATTGTTTACACGTGTCAAATTATCAATAGCAAATGTCAAAATGACATGACATGACAAACCTTGAAAATCTTGCTTCCTTGATGTTGGCAGCAACTTATGGTCTCTCTCCCACATTAGGGTTTTTATCCAAAATATTTACCCCTAAGTTTAATGGCGTAAAAATATCTAGCCTAAAGCGTGATGTAAGTGTAGGGCTTTTTATTAAAAAAAGTATTATTCAAAAATATGCTGTAATTGCTGACATCTTAGGCAACAAAGAAGTGTGTGTTTACGCTTTATTATAATAGTATAGATATAGCCGAATTCTGGAAAAAACAAGAAACTGATTTGTTTGCGTACACTAGAAATTGAAATAATAAAGGCTATTAAAGCTCCTCCAACCAATGATTTTATATACTTACGAGTAGTTACATAGGAAGATGGTAATGTGTTTTATATAGAAGATTCTGCCTAGGAAACGCTAGAATTAATTAAATAATACAATTCATCTAACACACTAAACGTTAAACCATCTTTTTTCATAAAAGTTCCTTTCATTTTTGACCGACTTCCCAAAAGAAGGAGGTATTCATCTTGCAAAAAATTTACTTCAACTTCGTAAAACTAAATGCTATTTGTGTAGCTTATATAAAACTAAAATGACTGCTCTGCCATTCTCTTAAATAGGAAACATTGCGCTGCTTTTCTAAAAATGTTAAATGTTATTTAGTATTTTGTTTTAAGTACGTTTTCTAGTAAGATTTTTAATGACACCATTTGGATACTTAATGTAACTTTCAATTACAATTTATTAACTTTTAACTTGGCTATTAAATAAAATAATTACACTGCAAAAACTATCATTCCAATCTGATCTTTAGTTCCCGATTTTTGAAGGTTCAAACTACGTACTTTATTTATACTATATGTATAAAATATATACAGAATTAAACATCTTGGGCTAAAGTATAAGTATTATTATGGTTATAAAAGTGCATTGAAGTTCCACAGAACAAAAACGCCTTAGGAGTTGTATCACGTACTCCCCAGAGAACAACAAACAAGAATGTTTTCTAAACTCGAGGCGTAAAGGCGAACATTTGTGGGGTATAATTTCATTCATAAATAACTTTACTGCTGCACAGCTCATTTAAATACATATTTAAAAACACGAAATGATACTTCACTGATATTAAGTAAAGTTACAATTGTAATTTTATTACTTCTTAAGTATTTAATTAAATCATTGTTCAGAATTCCATCGAATGTTTTATGTTGATTGCTTACTTAAAATTACTTTCTACTGTTGGAATAAGTTTAAATATTGTATCATTTACTAGCTGTTCCTGTGCGACTTCATCCGCATAAAATTATGAAAATTTTATTTTATTATTTACATGTGTCAAATTATCAATTGTCAAAATGACATGACGATGACAAACCATAGCAACCTTGCTTCCTTAATGTTGGCAGCAAACTTATGGTCTCTTTCCTATATTTGGATTTTCATCCAAGATATTTACCCCCTAAGTTTAATGGCGTGAAAATATATAGCCTAAAGCGTGACGTAACTGTAGGGCTATTTATTAAAAAAATAATTATTCTAAAATATGCTGTAATTGGTTACATCTTAGGCAACAAAGAAGTGTGTGTTTACGCTTTATTATAATAGTAAGTATAGATAACTATCCTATGTCGTGTGAATCCAAGTTAGAGTCGGCAAAATAATAGATACATGAAGTCTGTATTTGATGGCATGCATAAGAGTTACGTCGTGCGATAAAGGAAATAAATGTCTCAGTTACTGTGATTCTGTATCTCGAAATAACTGTATATTTTGTCTATATCTATACTAATATTGTAAAGATTGTATTGTATTTTGTATGCATTTAAATAACTTATTTCAGTAACATTTTTATTCCACTTAATGTATCTAATTTAACTGTTGTTACAGTAATCGGAAAACCTGAGATATCGCTTAAAGGGCTGTTCTTATGAGCATATGCAAAGCTTGAATAAAACAATACAAGTTTGTTATTAGTATTAAAATAAATCAAATATCGCTATAGATCCATCAGTGCGTCTCATTGTATCATATATGAATGGGCTATGAACGTCAGCAATTCCTTTGAAATGATGTACTGATAAGAAGAAAAAATTAAAAACTCAACTACGAAGACAAAGACATTAAGGAAATCTTAAGTAACAAGAGAAATAATATCAGATATACCATTTTTAAGCTACAGTTGTGTGTTTAAGTATAATTTTGGTGAAAACCCACGATAGGTATATCTTCTTTAAAACAAACATATTCACTGTCATTTCCAGTCTCTTTGAATCTCCGTTAACATTTTGTGTTGCAGTCCTTTACAACGCTTTACACTGCAACGTCAAGTGCGCACAAAGCAAACGAATGTTCTAAACACTGCTCTGCACACAAACATATCCTAAAGTACCTGTCTGGTATATGTATTATCTTTGCAATATTTTAATTTTACATCTATAATATTTTTTCGGTATTACATCATATTATGATCAGCGCAAACATTCACAAAACAAAAGAATGACTAATATTTTAAATTGCTATTCAGAAAAGACTTGTCTAACAGAGGAGCACAAAATACGCAGTAGGTTTTTTTTGTTTGTATTTTCCGCACTTAAAAGAGAGAAAAAGGTAGATCGTCATTTATTTTACAAATCACTTTCTTTATGTAAAGTAATTTGGTTTCAGAATATAAAACTCTGTAGTTACTAGGTTATAAATACAGGGGCTATGAAAAGAACAGAATAATTTCGACATGTCTTGTAAGCATTAATAAATTTTAAATATCAAATGCGTTATAAACAAGCTTGTATAACCTATCATTTATTTCTTAATATGTTTTTATGAAAAAAAAAAATATTATATTCCTAAAATTGTTTCAATGTATTTAATAGTCTTAAAACAACAAAAAAATTTTAAAAAGTGCTAGGATAACCCAAACCTTTATTCATGTTCCAATTCATATGCGACAAATAATTTATATTAAAAACAATTCGTAATTAACGTCATGTTAGAAAGTGAAGACAGCACTCTTTATTTATGCGGCCATAACATCTAGCAACTTTACTTATTTATTCATCATAAAACTAGTTAATTATGTTTTTAACACTCATTGTTCTTCTGTTTTTGTAATCGTTGTAGTTAATAGACGTGTAAGATAAACTACTTACTATATCTAATGATAAATCATAATTTTTCGCAATAAATTCGATTTTATATCCTATTTATAAACTAAGCTACGTATCCTATTATTTGTAATAATTACATTCCTATTTTTAATAACAGCGTAAAATGCTTGTATGTTTTTGAAGAATACTGGCAATTAACAATTTTGAATACTGGCTGAATGTACATCGGGTATGACAGATGTCAAAGCGACGATCGAATGACTGATGGCAGTTGTCATTCAATGGTAAAATTGTGCGCTTTGTAATGATATTTTTTGTTTAATCTCTGTAAATGTTTGCAATCTGATTAAATCGTGTACAGTTCTTATTTAAGATGGTAGTCAACTAAGGATGTTTCTAATGTTAAGCGATTGTTATTTCATTATCTCCGATATACGCACGCCCACAATGTAGGATGGTTACCGTGTATCAGCCTTCGGAATTAATTCTGTAAGCCGTTCGTCACTCCGACAAGTATTTGATTATTATGATCATTTAGTCACTGTCGTAAGTCGTTATACCATAAGATAAATCGAAATATGACTTTGCTAGCTATCGCCTGCGAGTTCGTCCACGCGATAGTAAATAATAACTTAATCAGTAGCCTATGTGTTATTCCTATGTTCTATGCCAAATTCCAACGACATCTGTTAACCGCTCTGGAAATATTTAGTTACATCCATCTATACAAAATTTCGCATTAATAATATTAGTTAATTAAATGTTTGTATTCGAAAATTACACGAGTTTTAATTAAACCCGAAGTAAAAATAGCTCATCGAAGATAAGCTTCTGTAATCTAAAAC